TTTCTTTCCAAATATCTGTGCAATCATCGTCCAATTCACTCAATGCCTTCATGGTCTTTTTTATTCTTTGTCTCTCAATAGGCCATACAGTTGGTATATAAACAATAATGGTTGAACTTTTAGACATAGGCTCTCTCAATAAATACCAGGCAGCTTCTTGACTTGTTATCTCAGTGTGATTTAAAAGATTGATACTAATATTTCTAGTGATTTCAAATATGTCAAATTCTGGGTGTTCATCCATAACTTCGATTATTTTTCTTTGTAAATTACTAACACCTCTATTAGTTTTATTGATGTATTCTACAACGTAAGCTGCACACGAATACTCTTCTGTTATAAATTGAAAGTCTGTATTGGATTGAACAATGTTCATTATAAATGGATTAAAAGGATTGTGCCATTTTTCATGAGGTTGTCGCTTCGGAAAAACTTTTGGTCTATTGATTCCAGCACGAATGACATTAACATATTCTTCATCTGAATTTATATTATTATCTTCATAAAATGTTTGGAAATTATCATATTCATAATTTTCTAATTTTTTTTCTAAGAGCCTTATATTTTGTTTTACACTCTTCGAAACCATCTTCAGTGTCTTTCATCGGTGTCAAAATCATTGTTGTCTTAATTGGCATGAATGGAGCATCAAATCTACATTTTAGCATTCTTTTTGATGCAATTCCTTTGTAGCATGTAAAAGTATGTTTGTGTGTTTGTAATTTTATGTTACCTGATGCCTCTGCTGCAGATACTGATATAAGAGAATCTATGAGATCGATAGCTTTATTGTAATCTTTTCCAAGTGCGTCTTCAGGAGCATTATCTAACCAAGCTAAAATATGAGCGTGTGGACTGCCGCGATGTTGAAATTCGATTCTTTTAAAATAATGTACAATTCTATATTTCTTAAAAGGGTTATATTTTTTTGATTGCAGTATTTTCATGAGAACGTTGACCAACTTGTTAAAATATATAGCGCAAGTAACTGCGTCTTCATTAATAAGTGTACTTTTTTTCTATGTAATGTAAATCTGCGGCATCTTCAAGTGTTATTTCAGAATTATATTTTAAATTATGCAATAATTGTAGCAATTTAGACCATCCTATTTCATTAGCACTTATTGTAAAAAACACTGTTGGTTTACCATATTGTCTAATCATCGCGAACAGGTCCTTTTTTCTTTCTAACCAATAAAATGCTGAGTTCGGAATAGTGCGTAAAAAAGCTAAATTACTTTCGATACAACCTTGTACGTAATCTTCTGATTTTATTTGCTCTTTAGTGATAGTGGTACCTTTTCCAACATGTTTAAACGCAATAGAAAGCGAATCTCTTATTCTTATTCTAATAATTTTCATAGCCATGTATAACAAATGCTGAGGGGTAACACCTCGTCTGTCAGATCGTCTAAGTTCACTTGTTGCCATCATAAAAGAGGTGACATTAACGCCATCACGAAAAGTTCTAAATTGACCCAAATATATTTGTGGAAAAGATAATTCTTCTGCATGTTCGTCGAATAATAAACTAACAGGAACATTACCTTCTCCAGGAGCAATTGTTAGGTACATTTCGTCATTCCACATTAATGTTTGTTGCTGTGCCACTAAGCTTTCGTCAATTGGTATTTGTTCTGAAATATCATTGTCACCATCTTCATCGTAGATAATTTCATCTTGTATATCATCTTGGCCGTTGAAGAAGCTATCATCAACCGTAATACCATAAGAAGTATAAAGAGGTGAATCTTTACCACAAAGATAGTTGGATTTGTGTATTTTCTTTCTCTTAATATGAACCGTAATGCTATGGTCGTCATCTATATTTCTTGGCAATGAATTCACCATTGTATTTACTTCTATTGGAACATTTATCACTTGTCCATAGATTCCAAATTGACCAAGAACATGTCGAAGCCTTCGAATTTGCATGAAGGGAATTCTTGGAGATATAAGGCGTTCTGTTACCAAATCTAATGGAAAATTTTTGAGATGTTGTGGAAATGGGGGATATTTGAATCCATTATACACTGAAAGTAAAGGAACGCTATTTTTATTAATTGCTTTTAAGCAAGTTGAGCATACTTTCACCTTAGTTACATTAACGTTTTTGAGCATTGTTCTTAAAAATTGAATATTAGGAGTAGTATCGTTATTAACAAAATTTTTTATATCTTTTGCAAACCACAGTCGGTCACAAATGTCACACGAATGACCAAAATCATTTTCAAAAAAAATCTTTTTGAAATTTTAAATGGGCTTTAGAATGTTGATGCCTAGAAGAGTACGTTGGTGCAGGTAGACTGTGTTGAGAATCCATGTTTTGAGTGTTATTTTGTGAAACTTGTACAGAAATATCGTCAATATTGTCATCAGAATCTGAATGTAACTCTAGAATGTCTGGTTCATTTTGTGTTGACAAGTCAGCAATATCAATTGGTGGAACATATGGCACATTTCTTGTTGAGGGGCCTGCAATTTGTGAGTTATGAAAATTTAGGTCGTTAGAAACACGCTTTATAACTGTTTTTGAAGATCGGTTCATTTGTAAATTGATCAAGGCAGATTCTTTTTCTTATCTCTATACCGCTGACTTTTTGTTTGTCTTGTAATTTACGACGTTTAATTTTTTTCCTCCTCTTCTAACGATATTGTTTGATACTTAGAAATTTTTAAATCAACTATTGCATTAGATTTTTTTTTATCTCGGTATCGCTGACATCTAGTTTTATTTTGAACTTTCTTTTTTTAATTGTATTTCATCAATTTTTTTTGATTTATGTCATCATTAAAAAATTCGTTCCTTCTGATTCTTCATCACCTTCTTGTCTTTTTCTTTTGCCCCCGTCTGAAGACATCTTCAAGTTTTTCTCGTGGGATTAAGGATCTAAACAAGTATAAAAAATAGAAATTTAGAGATTTTAATTATGTTACAATATTTTTTCTAATAGTGAAATTAAATTATATAAGTTCATAAATAATTATTTGGCAAAAAAATAACAAAGCACGTATTTTATATCTAACAAATTACACAAACAAACAATAACTTCGTAAAATTGAATTTTACAATAAATGAACATATTTCATAAAATCTAAAATTATTATAACATTTTTTTTTAATTTTCCAATTTTAAAATCCACGAAAAATTTTATCAAATAACTAGAAATCTATTTTACCACGCTAGTAAGATAAATCTTATACCGTAATAATACTCATTTCATGATGAAGAGGTTAAATATTAAAAACATAATTAAAATGAATAATGCTAAATTTTAAATACAAATATTCGTACAAATATTAAAAATGTTTAAAAATATATTCGTTGTTTTCATTATTCATTTATCTGTATAAAAATATTAATATGTTTCATACTCACTTTTATACTGAAGTCAATGAATTTAAATTCAATAAATAAACAGTAATCCTTCAATTAAATAATTACAATAATAGTCAAATTAAAAATTCACTTAAATAAACAAAATCCAGTACACACAAGTTGAACTTCCCAAGTGGTCAATTTAACTTTACTTATGTATATAACTACACTCTAATACTTAATGTACAACGCGTCACATTTACAATTACAGATGTACTGCTACTATAACGTATTGGTGACGTGACTCACAAAATTATACTTATCCAAAAAGCGTCCAACGCGCACATAATACAGTCAGAAATAGTCGATGTATTAGTGTATACGTGTACACAGGCTACTGCGCGTGCGCTAGTCTGGCTCTCCATAGCTATAGATATACTATTATCATTAGCATGTCGGTGACGCGAACCGAGGATTTTACCCTCTACCAAAACGCTCAACGCGACTAAAGAAGTTTTCACTTCAAAAATGTACGCAACTCCAGACTAGTACTAGATACAATCTTAAACTTTCACGCATCCATTATGAATATTGTTCAAAATGCTTAAATTTAACAGTTTATAAAGCATTTAAACTGGAATTAATTTCCGTTGAAGTCAAACTTTAAAAAAAATAATGATTATATATTTAGAGCAAATGACTAATGCTGTGTTATATGAACAATGTCTACATGAAACATTACTATGAGCAGAATAAGAAAAAAATGTTTGATGGTAAACTAAAAAACTGTGTGTGTTACTCTCTCTCTCTCTCTCTCTGAAGTTATTTTCAACAAATATTTACGTTGCGTTTCCCTATGAATAGGAACTATTCAATCATATGTTATAAAAAAACAATTTGAAAATACATTACCGAAATAAGTATTATATAGTAATTGGTGAGATAATGCTGCTTTTATATAAAATTTCAAATATATAAGTTGAGATATTGTAACATACATATAAAAAATAAATATTTATAAATCGAGAATTTTTATTCACACAAATTCTTTTTCAATTCCTACTATTAGTTCACACTCTCCCTATATATAGAGATATATATATATAGATATAGATAGATAGATAATAGATATAGATATATATATATCTTGTTCAAATTTCCAATCGTTAATAAATTACTTTTTATCACCCTTTTATAAGTTTCACTTGTGTGTAACGGAATCTTTGAACTCAATTTTTACCCACTTTAAAAGGTCAGATTAATTTGAAATTTTCCTCACTTGTCCAGGACCGATGGAAATACAATAATTTAATATAATTTTGTTCCATTGTTTTGATCAGGATCATCAGGATTAACGATTTCCCATTATCAGATCGCAACCTGCTTCTGGCGACTAATTTCAGATCCCATTTTCAGATTTGGCAACTAAAAGATTAAGTTACAACTTAGATCGATTAACTGTAAAAGGGTGTATTTTAGAGTTTTTTTTTATATATATAAACTATAATTTATTATTAATCCATTCAAGTTCAAATACATTTTTTAAAACTTGTAGTGGATGACTCTTGATGTTAATTGAGTTTCTTCAAATATTTTTCATTAATTAAATTGAATTTATAAATAAATTGTAACACAAATAATAGTCCAACACCATAAATAAAAAGGAAAATCTCCCGCTGTGTCCCTGTGGCGCTATGGATAGCGCGTTGATCTTCGGATTCAAAGGTAGTGGGTTCGAATCCTATCTGAGATGGTCTAATTTTTGAAAATGTAATTTATGAATGAATAAATACTAACAAACAAAAATGATAGTCTAACACCATATATATAAAGGAAAATCACACTTTCTACTTTGCCACTTAATATTGTGATTCTGTCATATGTTTATTTTAATTGTAATTATTTAATAAAAAGTAACTAAAATAAATTTTTTCTTTGTTGACTTAAGTAGGAATTGACTTCAAAAAAGTTTTTTCATGACTTGTGTGTTTTAATGAGTTTAAGAGTTAAATGGGTAACAAGTTAAGCAAGCAAATACTATTTTAATTTCTATTATGTGTAATAGATATTGTGTTCGTGAATAAGTTCAATTCACTCTCTCTAGATGGATAAAGATTCAGAAATTTCAGACACATACAAAACTAAATGAACACTATTTCTACGCAGCCTGTAACTTCTAACTTTATATGTCTACATTGCTTTTTTTATACGGAAAGTAATAAAATAAAATATCCAAATCCTACAATAGTCGAAGGAATACAAAAACTTTATCGCCCTATACTGCTACGAAAATGAACAAATAGGAAATGGGCAAAATACATCCCAGGGCAATTTCATGGTTGTAAAGATACAACAATCAATGATTTAGTTCTCATTCAGATGAACACGTGATGCATTACATCGAGTCATGCTTGTCAATCACTTGAACGCACATTTCTGTTGAAACCATTCTCCTAGCAACCTGCCGAACCTAAACACACCCATTGAAATGGAACAGACGACACACGAGTCTGGATTAATCAATTTTTTTTCTTTGTTGCGATTAAATTTAGAAATTTCCGGTAAATGAATTTTTTTTTCGTTATAAGGAATTGATGTTGGTAGCGTCGATGTCGAAGAGGTTAGAGGAATTTAAAATACCAATTGGGAATGATTGTCTCGATGAGGTATGGATTTCAAAGACCATCCCTAAAGTAGTGCTAAGTAAGGATGGTTAATCGTTAGGTGTTCTTCAGGAAATGTATTTCATACCTTTCAAAGTTTTTGAAAATGTGAACGAAGATATTTATTTAATATATTAAAAATATAAAATTATCAATATCGAAATAAATTAATGTGCTTATGAATTACTCTTTCAATTCCTACTATTTGCTCCCTCCCTCCCTATATATATATATATATATATATATATATATATATATATATATCGATCAAATTTTCAATTGTTAAAATATAAAATACTTCCTATTCATCCATTCAAGTTCAAATGCATTTTCAAAACTTGTAGTGGATGACACTTGATCTTAATACAGTTTTTCAAATATTAATTCATTAATTAAATTTTTTTTAAAATTTTACATTTATTCTGCGTTATTTCTGTCGTTACAACTAGCTGTATTAGATGGCGCCAGTACATTTTTCTAACGAAGTAGTAATTGACTTTAAAAATTTTTATATTACTTGTTTTATGTAACTAAGAGTGATGAATCAATTGAAATTTGAAATCCAAACGTAAATTTGAATAAAAAGTCATATCTTCAAAGTGAGTCTTAATTGTTTTTACAAAATAAGAAGGATAGTAGTGCACATCCAAATGAGCAATAATTATCATGGAACATAGAGTTAAATTCCATTTTGAGAGGCAGAAAAGAGTAAAATTAGAATTAAAAATTTAGCTTACAATGGTGTTGGAAAAATGATTGAATGACACGAAAAGTTGCCAAACCTGATTTATTGTTCAGAAAAAAAACTCACAGCAAGTGCTCAAAGTGGCGGTCATGAGTATTATTGTACGGTTCACGCCGGCGGAAGAATCACTGGCGCATTCTCTCGAAGATTCTTGTGCAGTGCGAATTTTATCTGCGACAACAACGATTCTAAGAGATATTCCAATGAGTTCACAGGCATCTCTCGTACACTAAAGATTTCATGTACACACAGAAGAAAAATTCCAGTCGGCTAAGATACGGTGAGTGAAGAAGCCCAACCATGTCTGATCAATCGTTATGTAAAATGTGATATTCAAGAAGTGGTGATCTCGTAGTGAGAACCATTGTTGCCCCAGACAAAGCAAGCACATCACAAGGAGTCTTCAAGGGAGTGCACCAGTCATTCTTTCGCCGTTGTGCAACAACACGCGTTCCGCCACTTTGAGCAGTAGCTATCAGTTTTTCTCTGATTAATAAATCAGATTGCCCAACTTTTGGTATCGCCCATTCGTTTTCCAAACACCACACATTCATGTTTTAATTCTAATTGTACACTTTTACCTCTTTCAGCCTTTGTTACAAGATAATTATTGCTCGCCTGGAAGGGAATATTATCAACTCTTATTTTGTAAAAACAATTTAGATTCTCCTGTATATAAAGAAATAAAAACATAATTTAAAAAAAAATAAAACTAATTAATTCATTGCAAAACTCTTACTTCTAAGATTGCAAAATAATTAAGTTTATTTTGTTCTTGTTTGCCTTTACTTTTGTTTATTGCTTAAACATACGCAATAAAAAAATCATCACACAAAAATTATATTTTTGAGGGATTATATTGCCTGAAATCCTACTTCCCCGAGACAAATATGCTAAATGTATGTCTTAATATGAAATCAAAAGACAGAGTTCCAAATGCCGGATAGATAAGTAAAAAAAAAAAAAAAACTAAAGTCAAAACTTGAAATGAAATAAGGGATCTTATATTCCCTTCTGCCGTATCGAAGAAAACTAAGACTCATTAAGCAGCCAGCTAGCTCTCTTGCTGTATCTTTTGTGCCAGGAGCTGTTCAGTCTCAATTAAATTAGAGAAACACACAAAATACATTTAATAACCTAAAATATTTTCCAGCTTTATGAAAAGTTTGAGGGAGAGAAATTGCACTCCCAAGTATATCTTAGCAAATATAAAATTTTGCATAAAAGTATTTTCAGCTTAATGAGTTTCTCTGAGCTTTATGTAATTAAATTTTTATTTAAAATTCAGAAAATTACTAATTATTGTAAAGGAAATCTCCTTTTTAAATTACTAGAGTGCTTTAGAACGCAAATATAGTACTTTAAACTTTGTAGGAGCAAATTAGACCCAAAAATTGATGTGATTTTAATAAAGAACTAAACTCTCTCTCTCTCTCTCTCTCTCTCTATATATATATATATATATATAATTACATTTCTCTTTCATATGATTCATTTATATTTTCAGTACCCTAATTTATTTTCTCCTATTAATGAAATAAATAATACATTGATACAGATAAACTAAATAAATATATTTTTCTTAGCACTAGAATTAAAATAACTTCATTATCTTATGGTATCTGAACACGTTCAGAGAACTTTTTTAAAAAAATAGCATAATAGATATTATAAATGCTTTTTGGGAACCAATACCAATAGATACTATTTAACTAAAAACATTTGAAAAAATAGTATCTAAATTTTACAGAAATCCCAATTATAAGTGAAATTTTAGCAATGTTTTTGAAAAACTTCAGAGAAATTAGAGCAAAAGTAATTAACATAGATCAGTATAAGTATTACTAAAACAAATTATTCGCATTTGTCTAGAGAATTTACTAAAATTTTAATGTTTTGTTAAAATTTAAAAATTTTAGAGCAGTTAGAGTAAATATTATAAGAAATGTGACATTTTTATGACACCATTATTTCATAACAGTCCAGAACTCCAAAAATATTCATACAATAAGAAATATTTTAGAACATTTTCTAGGAAATAATATAAATATCAGGTTCAAAAAGTTGCATAGAAATAGCATCATGATTTATCAGACTCTCCATGATAGATTTTAAACAATTTAAATGCCCAATTCTCGTACATTAAAGACCCACTTCCGATTTTTCCAATTTTATAAAATTGATTGTAACTTTGCCTCTAGATATCTTAGAAACAAAACATAGTATGTTTTTAAAGCCAAAAGATAGCTCTATTTAATAAAATAGAAAACAAAAAATATGTGTTTTGTCCGAATTTGCTTATTTCAACGTGTTCGGATACCTTAAAACGAGCTTCTTTGCAAAAGTTCCTTATAATGTCGATAGAATTTAAATATACACTTTAGGAATTGGAGCTGTCAAATTCTTAATCAAAGGAATGTTTAAGGAGACAGGGATCGATTTAGCAAAAAATCTTTGATTTAATGGGTTTCCCAATTTTTTGGGGTTGCCCACTATGTGTATGTACTATGTAAAACTATTTTTGTGCTCAAAATACCCCAAAAAGTTATGCACTTAATTTTTTAAAGAAAAATTTTTAGAATCATGAAGTGATTTTAAAATGCTACTCCTTTTACAATAATTGATGTACACATAGTAAATTTGATTTACTAGTACGTCGAACTATTTTTAACAACAGTTGCAATGAGTTTTGGGATAACACATATCTGATATTCGTAAAAAGATTTTTTTATGAATGCTGCTTGAAAACTCCTTAAGAAATGTATACATTCTAAATTTAACTATTTTAAAAAAATAAGTATTACTTTTTGATTCATAACTGCGTACCCACTGTTATTACATGTACTAATCTCAATATATTTTTTTAAAAATTATCAAAGCACTTGGCACAAAGAACAAAAGACTCTTGGTATTTTCAATAAAGATAAACTAATTATTTTCTCTTTCTGAGGCAAATGAATTTAAAGTATTTATTTGCATTGAGAGGTGAATATATGTAAAAAAACATGAAAGTTATCATAACTTTAGTTTTATTTAACTTAGAGCTTTCAAATTTTGTGAGATTGTAGAAAAACTAAGAACAAATAGTTTAGGCTAAAAAAATTGATTTGGTATTTTTTACCGATTTTTGTCGATTGAATCGTACTGTGTCCCTTTTTAATTGGTTTTTATTTATATACATAATCTACCGAGGAAAACTTTAAAAAATACATAAACAAATAATTGTTATTTTTTAAAGGCAAACAATGTAGATGTTTGGCATATTTAGTAACTGTGTCACAAAAACTCAAACAATCTGTTGAGCTAGAAATCTCGTATAACTTTATTTATATACAAGAGAAATAC